AAAAAAAAAAAAAAAAAAAGACCAAATTTTTGAAATGGTGAACTGACAAAACTGGCGAAGGGACTGAGCTTCCCTATGTTCAGGCTCTGCACTTTCAAGACTGGGAAGCAGAGGAGCAGGAAACACGCCATAGGCACACTGAGCTTTACAATGCTGTGGGGAACACAAGACAAGTACACAGTGCACAAGGAAAGTCACCAACTGACTAAGACACCTGAATATTCACACAGGAACAGATCCCTTTCCCAAGAAAAACCTGTACAATCAGTCATTTATCACAGCAAATGCTATAAACAAATGATAAAATCCAGCAAAGATATAAAACTTTTAAACATTTCAGAAAACAGCAATGGAGCCCCTCTAACATAAAAAAAATAATTCCTACCTCAAACAAAATTTAATGTTACACTAACATGTCCAACTCTTAGTTATTCTAATTAAATGAAAAAGCAAAATAAGCATGTTATCACTATCATTATTTCATACATGGTTAGATTTCTTCCTGTTAATGTTTTAAGACTTAAAGACAAGGACAACAGAAGAGCTAAACTCCAAAGGAATTTCTAAGAACTACTGGAATCAATTAGAAACATATTTGTATCAAATCAATAGTGTGAGCAAAAAAGCAGGTAAACACATGACATGAAAACAAAATGCATGAATAGATAAATGATTTAAAAGCTACAAAAGAACTTTTAATGAAAAACATTCAGTCATTTTAGAATTTACTTGAGTGATATATAAAAGTACTAAGGTGTATTCTCAAATTAAAGCATATATTTAATGTAGGTCCAATCAAAACTTAAGGAAATTTTCTTTTTTCCTTGAAAAAATGTTTCTAAAATTATGCTTATGAATCAATGAGATGGTCCAAAAAAAATGTTGAGGAAAAAGCACAGGAAGATGAGTGCCCTGAAATGTTAAAACACAACATACAATACTAATAAGAGTAAGATATAAGGACTGACAGTACAGAAATCAACTCTACACAGAGGAGTATAGTAACTGTCAGAGGAGAAGCCCAAAAATTAAAGGAAAGGACAAGTAACTTAAAAAATGATGGTAATAATGGAATACTATACAGCAAGCAAAAATTAAACTCATGTTATTGTGACAATGTGAAGAAACTGGAAGAGATCACCTAAGTGAAGTGAGCCAGAAGGAGAAAGGTAAGTGCAGGACAGTTCTATGTATATGTGGAATCCAGAGTAACCAAAGGATAAGACAAAGACAAACTTTAAAACTGACCTTTGAAATAGTACCATAGATCTGAGGCATCCAGGACTGCAGAAGATGGACTGGAAAGGAGACAAGGGGTGAGGGAATGGGACAGCACAGTGGACTATGCTGGAATATTATGGGTGCTTTGTTAGTGGGAAAATATGTTAACCTCACTAGAGGACAGAAATCCTATACTGTGAAAAACAAGTCAGTATGTGAAAGAATGGTAAACCATAAAAAGTAAAAAAGAAATGGAGGCTCAGAACAGTCTGCTAGCAAACAGAAATATAGCACTATAACATGGCAGATAATAAATATGAGCATCTGCCCAGCGCCTAAGAAGTCTATCTGTTCCTTACACTGCTATTTTTTGGTTTGTGTTTCTCCCTCAAACTATAGCAGAAACATATCTGTGGCAGAAATCTTCATCTTTTCCAAAACCATAGAGAAGAATAATAAACATGGCTACTAGTAAATGTCTTTTTCTTGTAATTGTGGTTATAAAAGAACCTCTTGTTCTAAAATAGTGAAAGCCTTTTTCCACCACAGGAAAATGGATTGTTCTCTTAACAACAGATTCCCTTGTAAAAAGAAAGCCCACAAAGTGAGGATCTGACCATGAGCTCAGGCACTTTCATTGTTTACATATTCACTGTAGCTCCTCCATTTCCTGCCACCAATCATATAAACGTGTCCACAGCCCTAACCCTGTCACGAGTTGTGTAAAGTATACTATGGAGCACACACAGGAAGCAACAACCCTAGCTCTGGAATTGTACTGGGCTCTTTGCCCTCCTTTTCACCTGGCTACTCAAAGGTTTACTCTATTAGCCATACTTGTATCCCATGTATCTATCCTCTTCTTCCT